TGGTATTGGGACTGAGAGAAGTTAGAAATTTCTCTGTCTTTAATTATGCTGTCTTACCTCATTTTAATTCTCCATCTGGAAAATGGAATTGTAGTGACCTATTTTGCAAAGCCACTTTGCATCTGAAAATGATCCAGCAATCCACTACTGCATACAATAAGCACATTTAGGCAGTTCTACTATTCTGCTCTAATGATGGTGGTACGGAGGAACTTAACGTAAAATGCATAAGCAGGGAAAGATTCTTGCAGATACCTGTAGCCCAATGTTTTGCAGTGAGGGAACCAAAGAGGAATCAGAGTACAATAAATACAGATAGCTCAGTATATTTAACTGTATTTGTAATGGGTGACAGGAGAAGTTGTTTGTCTGTTTTGTTTCTGCCATAAGTGACTCTGGGCAGCATACAAATATTAAAAGACAAAACCACTACATGTAGTCCCTGGCACCAAAGGATAAAATATTAACTCAATTCCCCAAAAACATATGCTAATTTACCCTCCTGCAAGCAGAGCTAATCTACCCTCCTGTCATCCCTGCTAAGCAAACCAGACCAGAAAATCACCTCCATAAGAAGACCTAGAACTACTTTGATTGAAACTAGCTATAATAACAGCATCTTATAAATCTGATGGTGCTCTGGCTCCTGCCCTGTCTTATATTTCAGTGCATTAGGGGTGGTATCTGCCTGAGCAGCTTCTGAATATTGTAATATTGCAAGTGGCTTAAAAATGTTTCTGGGCTCTTTGCCTGGGTAACAATTCTTGCATATTTCTATCAAGATAATTTTCCTTATTCTGATCCAAATGTCTGAGAAAACAACCAGGTCTCAGTGCATTGCAAAAGATTAATGGGGTTGGGGGTCATTTGAATCTCAGGCTTGGGGATGTTGTTTTATGAGCAAGTACAGCCCCTTAGAAGACCCAACTCTGAGATTTAATAAGATGACATTGTTTGGTAAAAGGGCTGTTTTTGCTAGATCTGGTGGGGCAAGCAGAGACAATGGAAGAAAGGCAATTCTGCAAATAGACTGGCCCTATGCCATGTAGGCTTTATCGGTTTAAATTCAATGAGAAAGAATTCTACCAAGTTTAGAATACCAACTTTACCCCCCCCCCAAAAAAAAGTCTATGTGAAGAGAAGCAGATATTGGGGGGGGGGCAACAAATTGTTCTGGCTCTGATTGCAGTCTATGGTTCTACCTCTCAAATCTCCAGTGTCAATCCCTATTCTATGGTGTAGGATAGGCAGGTCCAAAAAGTAGGTGAAGCTCGAGGAAGAACTATTTTTAAAAGACCTCGGAAAAGATCAACAGCTTGAACCTGTTTAAACTGCAGGCCTCAGATCTATTGCCGTGTGATCTGATCCTAAGGAGAAACAACTTTATTTCTTTTTATAATTTCAATGTCATAAGGAAATATGTACATAAATAATGTTACTTTATTGTCAATATTAGATTAACCCTACCTCTAATTCAGAATTGTTGGTGCTAAATCACTTTATTTTTTTCTTGCTTTTATTATTTTTATAAATAACTCAAGGCACCAAACTTATCTGATACTTCTTCCTTCCTCTTTATTTTACTCACAACAACAGTCCTGAGAGGTAGGCTGGGTTGAGAGTGTATGACTAACCCCAGATCACTCAGCTGGGACCAGAACTCACATTCTCCTATTTTCTAACCTGATGCCTTAAATACTAGACCAAACTGACTGTTTATTAGAGCCCATAAGCCAAATAGTTCCCTTATTTAGTCTGGTAAGTGTGCAAATCTATATGGTTATGAAGTTGAGGAATACTGCATTTACTTGTATGGAAATATTAATATAAGTTTGTTCTGACCAAGGCTTCTGAGACCGTAATTACATACACACTTATTTTAAAAACAAGTCTTGGTTTATTGCAATGCTGGGAATTATTTTCATTCCTAGCCGGTAATGAATCTCAAACAGTCCCTCAAGATAAGCACCCACCTTTCTCTCTTGCGAAGTGCTGCCAATAACAGAAGTGTCAAATAAACTAGAACAAAAACCAACCGAAGTACAAAGAGTTTGAAAAATGAATCTAAACCAAACGAATGACTTTGCTTCCTGCAAAGGTTTCATCATCTTTGCCTGTCCTTTATACTTATGGGAGAGGCAATCACCTCCCAGCCTTACTCCTGAGTTGGTCCTTTTGTTTCAGCTGCTCTCGCCTTCTAGCAGCTCTGCGCACACGCGCACTGGGAACAGGCTCCCCTGGGTCCTCTGCCTCACTGCTGCCAGACTCCGAAGGCAGCACTCCCAGATGGTCCTAGCCCCATCTCTGCATTGGACACAGGACCCTCATCCAAGTCCTCTCCAGATTCCTGGGCTGATCTTCCCCACTGTCCAATTCTGCTGCAGTCTGCACAGACTGCCAGTGAATCACAACAAAGTTATTATTTTGTTGCAAAAGTTTGTTCATTGCCATCCCTTTATTCTAAGTATGTTCAGTAAAACCTTCAGTTATTTCACAAATTATCTTGAAATATTGCATTCAGGAGGTGAGGAATAGAGAAAGCTTAATTAATTTTAAAGTGTTTTGTGCTGCACAGTTCATTCTTGCATGTTCTTTAAAAAATATATCTCATCTTTTGTGAGACTGTTGCAGGATTTAGCAGAAATGAAGTAACTGTGATCCTCCAGATCAGTGGTAGAATTCTACCAGTTTGGCCCGGCTCTGGCATACCAGTAGCGCCAAAGATCAGCTGGCAGAGAACTTGTTTGCTCTGAGTCTCTCTGACGCTCTGCAGTTGGGCCCACCTGCCCACCCCTTCTTCTAGATCCTTTTTAACCTCTCAGCTGTTTGGCACAGCAGAGAGGGTTGCTGTGCTAAACAGCTGAGAGGCGCAGTAGCTTAGTTTTTACTGTTTTGATGCGTGCGCAAAGTGTGCATTTGGTGCACTTGTTTGAATCGCGCAACCCCCTCTGCATTTGAATGCCACCACTGCTCCAGATGATGCTGAATTCCAAGTCATGTTGTCCCCAGCTAGTATGGTTAATGGCGAGGTATCATGGGAGTTGTTAATAGATATTCCTGCTTTTGTGGAAGGGATGCTAGAGATATAAAAAGTGTGTGTGTGTGTGTGTGTGTGTGTGTGTGTGTTTGTGTTTAGTGTGATGATAGGAACAATTTTTTTCTGATGCCTTATAACTGTCTCCAATCCGGGGTGCCTTCAAAATGAATCTCAGCTTTCAGTAATCCCTAGACAGTTTTGCCATTGCTAAGAATCTTGGAGGTTGGCCCATATACTTGTAGAACACCTAAATTGATTGCAAATATAAGAGCAGATATATAGAATCAGCAATTCACACCATTTCAGCAATTTCACTGAATTTAGATAACCATCTCCATGTTTGTCTATTCTTCAGCTAATAAAGCGTTTTGTCAGAATTAGCAAAGTTTGATGAATGTTGTTGTTCACATCAAATAAAATACAAAATTCATCTGAGTCTTCTAGATAACTCTTTAGGAACAGTGATAATAAACAGTACATGCAGGAATGGGATTCTACCAGTTCAGGCGAACCGGTAGCCCCGAGGTTCAGCTCTTGGGCCCACCCACCCACCTCAGCTCTAGTCTGCTTTATATCCTGGTTTTCATGTTCAACTGATTTGCATGGCATAGTGGAGTGCCGCATGCTAGCTGTTTAACACACAGAGATTGCTGGAGAAGGTCAGTAGCAAATGCTCCGTGCGCGCAAAGCTCACACTCACCGAACCAGTTGTTAACACCGGTTGAATTGCACCCCTGAATACATGTTAATACACATAGAATATATAATTTATTCAAGAAACAGACATTTTGCTTTTAACCGTATAATTGTAGTTAGGGTTGGTTGTTGTCGTTTTTTTTCTTCTTTTTTCTTTTTAGCAGATTGTATTCAGCTTAGCTTTTGTGCAAATATGGAGTTAAGATTATAGCCTTTGGCATTTTACTGCTGGTGTTTCAATGATCTCTGTGCTTGAAAAAGTGTTTTAACCAGCTAGGCAATGTCTGTAGGTGGACTCTGGCATCCAGAACACAGAAAGGGTCATTCCCTTCCCTTTTGTTCTTGTATCGCCTTCCTTTTCTCGGTTGGCAAACGGCATAGCCTTTCCCTCAGGGAATCTTTTTCCGCTGATCCCAGGTCGAAATCCAGCTTCTGATAGGCAGGCAGCTCCTCTTCCCTGAACCCTCCCTGCTTGGAGAAAGCTCAGCTGAGTTTATTTATAGCTGGTTCCTCCCTGACATTCTATTTCAGGTCACCCCCAGCAGAAGCCATATCATTTGGTGACTGGGTTGGGAAACAATTGTGTGACTGGAGCAGACTCTTGCATGTTACAAAAATGGGCCCCTTGTAGGAACGGCAAGGGGCTGCTGCTCTATTTTTCAGGAACCTTCAAAATAAATCTATCACTCTAAGGATGTTCTGTTTTTTTAGAAACTTCTCCTGAGTTCTAAGAAGACGTTGCTAAATCTGTCCTTTTCAGAGTAAAATAAATCATGGCTAAGATATAAGTCATTTCCTCCTTTTCCATTATCTTTTGCCTCTGCCTGTTCCTGTGTCTTGCAAGTCCTGTCCCTTCCAATCTGGTGTGGGTGAAACAGTTTTCACCTCTGCTGCTATCTTATTTTCATCTGCAAGTATTTTTGTTTTCTCTCCTGACAGCTTTGATTTAGTCTTGGGAGATATCCTCGCCAGGGAACCACACCATTGCTGTGAAACAATTTAACTTTTTCAAAGATAGCCTTCTCCAAAAAGGATGGATGCCTGCATGCTTGCAGCTGTTTTAGGAGAATGTTGGATGGTTTGAGTTGACAGTCTCTAGCATAACAAGAGACACCCCTTTAGTTGGGCAACGGATTGTCATCAAGGCAAACTGAAGTGGAATAAAACAGAGCATAATCGTTCTCTGGCATGCTTCTTGTATCCTCAGTGTGGGGACTGCCAGAGATGTTGCAGACAATTTACGAAACTGAATCATGTTTCTCTTCAGATGGAGTTTCTGGACGTGAGCCATCATTGGAACTCCTGTCACGGGCACAGATCCACGCCATACCTGTGCCAGGTAAGCAGAGCTGTGAAATCTGTCTTTAACTTTAAAATAATCAAATATGTAGCTAGATTTAATCTGAGTGGCTGGGGTGTTTAGCACGTAGAAGGATGTCCATAAACAGTGGAATCTGAATTTGCAGCAAAGGGACATGGCATTTTATAAAATCAGGCCCATATGAGACAGATGGTAGATCAAATGTGCAAATATTGCTTGTCCCTTGAAATAATATATAGAATTCTTCGATGTTGCTATTCTTGGTTATATGTTTTCATGTTTGCTTGTTGAAAGTAATTAAAGATTGTGCTAATGATTTGACTTGAATGAAGCCTGAGCCAAGAATTTAGTCACAAAATGTAGGCAACAAAAACATTCCTAGTAATAGGAAGTGTTATGACTTTTCAACATTGAAAAACTGCAGAAGCCTCTTGTCTCACTAGAAAATTAAGTACTGACTTTCTTAGCAAAGTTGAGGCCCAGCATATTTTTTTAAAAAAGTCCATTAGTAGAATTGTGTCTTACAATGTTCCACCTCACCATTTGTTTTCAGTGTTTTGCTCATTATTGAAACACCTGAATAAAAAAAAATATCTTCATTTGTGTAGGCTCTTCATTATTATTACACATAGTTATATTAATGTTATATATTCCATGGACAAGCATTATGGTTAAGTACCAAATGTTGAAAATTAGTATGCCATGCTCAATAAACAGAATTTGAGATTGCCCTCCATTTTTTAAATTAAATAGAAGTGGAAATTACTTTGCTGATGCTAGTTAAATGTAGAGGTGATTTAAATATCTTCTGGTTAATTCATTCCTTAGATTGAAATTTGCAGGATATATACATTTGATCCCACGTTGATTCCAGTGTTTTTCACATAAGGCTTGATAAGAAGGTACATTTGGATTCAAAATGAAAAAACACCTGAGTCCCATTTAGAACCTTATTTTGGTTCCTCCTATCTTTTCCTCATAAGTTGTATTTTGTCAACTATAAAATTACTTGTACAAACATGATCTTTTACAAACATTAGTTAATCTGCATTCATTATTTATTTTGAATATTGTCCTATCCTTTTAATACATTCATACTGCTAACAGATTGAATTCATTTGTTTGAGGAAAAGAACTTTCCACATTTCCTCCCAGCTGTCCTGCAGCAAGCTGAAAACTATTTGAAATAAATTTGGTGTAGTGAAAAAGATACAAATCCATTTTGTACTGCAAAACTTGGGATGTTTAAACTCCAGCACAGACTGGACTTGGACTAAATTTTATTCTGTGAAGTAATTAGCCCTTGTTTAATCCATTTAAATTTATGCTGCTTTGAGCCCCAAATATCCTAGAGTACTTAGCACTAAAGTACTTTCTAAAGCAGTGGTCGCCAACTGGTAGGCCGCAGCCCACTGGTGGGCCATGAGAAAATTTTGGTGGACGCAGAGAAATCTTACCCCCAGAGCACCCCCACAAAGCAATTAATCCAGGCTGCATAGAAACACAAGGCTACGCTGCCCACATGGTCCGCGGGAACCCTCCCTGCCCATTCACTCCTTACCTGGTAAACTTGCCTGCTAAATTGCTATTTTTCCTTTTTCCAACAATCATCTGTTCTGATGTGCCGGGAGATTTAAATTAGCTAGGAAGCAGGAAATGGTTGGATTTCTTGCTTTCTAGCTAGTCTTTATATCTTTGGCTCAGCAGAGCTGAACCTCCCTTAGGACTGAAGGTTTGCTTGCAAGCAAATTCAGTGCAGACTCACGGCAAGCAAATTTGAGAGACTGAGCTAGCCGATGGCAGATAGATAGATCACTGAATGATTCTGTGAGCAACTCAATCTGCCTGCTTTGCCTGATTTTGGGTAAAAGTTTCTCTTTTTTATAAAAAATTCAATAGTTACATGCATGGTGTGTTGTGAGTTAATTTTGTGAGTTAGCTTGCAAGCAAATTTTATGTGACAGACTAAGCTAGGCAGTGACAGATGGATAGATCTCTGAATGAATCTGTGATTCTGTGAGCAACTCAATCTGCCTGCTTTGCCTGATTTTGGGTAAAAGTTGCTCTTTTTTAAAATAAAAAATTCAATATTTATATAAATATTTATAATATTTAAATACAAGCCATGCCCAGCCAGTCACATGACCACCAAGCCATACCCACAAATTAGGCCACGCCCACAGAACTGATTAGTGGTCCCTGGGATTTAAAATTATGAGTTTGGTGGTCCCTGAGGTCCAAAAGGTTGGCGACTCCTGTTCTAAAGCACCATTGTTGGGAAGACCCATGAGCAATTCTGTAGTTGCCTGCTTTTAAACATAGGAAATGCACATGACAGGCAGAAGACAAGGAAGAAGCTTTTCTAAACTTTTTATATGAATTTCGATCTATTTATTCTTCAAATACTTTCTGTGTCAACAAATGTTCTCCAAGTATAGTGGATTTGTACATTAGTAAATGCTTGCTTGCTTATTTATTTATCGGATGCCATTAAGAGCCAAAGCCCTTTTAAAACTGACTTCATTGATAAACAACAATCATCATCAATGCAACCCAACAATAATAAATATTTAACCAAGAGAGTTCTAATATTTAAAACATAACTGACCCAATGAAGAAAGTGATCAAAAATAATAGATCTTCAGTGCTTTCCTCTTTGGGGAGATACTGTAGAAAAAGAGTGTCTTCCTTAAATTCCCTATTCAACCACTTTTAGTGGAGAAAGAAAGAAGTGGGCAAGAAATATTTATAGTTCAAAATTATTTGAAGTTTTACAATTTCAAGCCTTTATATTAGAGTTAGAAATGGGGTGTTGGTGTCATGTGATCTAGATATCTACTTAGTACTAATTGGGTAGCTCCAACTCATCTTTCAAGGCAAAGTTACATGAAATACAAAATGGTAAACCTATTCATTTTGCATAGATAATTGAGATAATGTGTTCCATTGACAAGTCTACTCTAAAGCACTAGCTTTTACAGTTATTATAGATTTCAAAGAACCTCCACATTGGAATAGTGCAATCCTGTCTAATCAATCTATCAATCGTTTGATTGATTTTGTCTAAGGTTAGTTGTTAACATTCAGACGTAGAAGGGTTTTTTTTTTCCTTGAGAGGAAGTTCAATTAATTGACCTTTTAATTTTTTGCCAAATTGCCATTCTGTATGATTTCTGAAGTAAAATTGGGGAATTGACATCTGCTAGAGATCCTTTAGATGCAATTTGTTAGGATGGAATATTGACTGAGAATACTCATGGATTTTTCCTAGCTCAGTCACACCTATTATTGGAGTTAAAAGAAAATACCCTTACTCTTGGGCAATTGTGTACACATTGTAGTGATTTCTTACATGGTTGTACAATAAAGAATAGTAAGGTACAGTATTTAAGGTACTGAACTATATTAGGCAAGTTCCATCACAGAACTTGTAGTGATTTTGAGCAAATCCTTGTTTTTCAGCAAGCCTAATCCCCAAGAAGATGATATGGGAAAAAAATGAATATATTACACGCTGTCTTGAAATTTTGAAGGAAAGATGGATATAAATCTAACAATAACATAAATATATATGCATAGGTGTTCAAAGATGTTGTGCATATATTTGCGTCTACACTTTATATTCTGGAATGTACTGATGTAAAATTAATTTTGTTGCAGCCATCATGATCTACATGATCAAGTTCGACAATGGAAAAAATTGCCCAGGATGCTTATATAATAATCTTCCTTGGTGATTTCAGGATTGGTCTACACACATGGCAAAATGCAGTGGGAATGAGACAGTAGAATGGACTGTGCCACTTCAGAGTACAGGTGGGAGTTCACATTTCTGAATGCATTTTAAAATTAAATGCAAAACCCAAGCTTTCCTTTCAATTAGGAAACTTAACAGAACAAGAAATAGGATGGCCAAGAATTTCCCTATGTGATAATTTCTTACTTGTAAGATTTATTCTGTGTAGTGTAGCATCCAAAAATGTAACCTCCACCTGCAGTCTGAAATAATAAAATCAGAGGAAATACAATTCTTCAGTATGATGGCACTCAATGTGAACTAGACTAAAGTCTTGAAATTCATATTGATCTGACAGAATAAGAAATACAGTACAAACTGAACACTTCAAAGAGGGAATCACAGGTAATCTAGGTTTCTAGGAGTTTGACATGACATCCCAGAGAAAGGGATGAAGTTGAAGCATTTAATAGTAAACATTGTTAGTTTATTGTTTTTCATATAGCATTGCTCTGGTCCAAATCAGAACGAGTTCTGAGTTGGTTAAATATAATCAGTGGCACTTTTGTTTGACAATTTATTGTTTTAAAAATTGAAAGGAAAAAAATAGGTGAGTGGAATGCTTCATTGTTTGTCCAGCATAGCTGGTAATTTTCAAGGAAAGTCTTATCATGGTTATGATAGATCAAGAATGTTCTTTCATGGGATCTCCCCATTGATGTATGGGCAACTTTGGGCAATGTGATGTAGTTGGAGTATCTGTTGTATGCAGTGTTGTGGAGACAGACATGGCCATTGTGGTACTATGGTATTACGATTGCCTAGAATAGGAAAGAGTTAAATGGGGTAAATAAACAGCCAAGAAGAAAGGTCAAGTTTTGGTTTTGGCTTGCTTTAGTTTAGCTTAGTTAGAAGACTAAACAGGATATATTGGTGGTTTCATTGAAACAGTTGGCGGGCTGTAGTGGAAGAAGGTAGGATGCCTAGCTCATTGAAGACAGAATGAAAATAACAGAGAGCTTTACCCAACCTGAATAAGAAAAGTTCACTAATTTCCTCTCCTAAGGGATAATATGGCGTAGTTCATCTGCTATTGAGATATTGACCACTTTGCTGCTCCCTTTCTTTGCCTGGGTTCCTGATTCTCACAGCTAACCTGATGCTGGAGTCCTCTGGGCTACAAGATTTCAAATTGTATGTCTTAGATCTAGGACTGAAATGAGGTCAGAATGCCATGGGCTTATCCCAGATGATCTCAGACCCAAACATATGCTACATATAGGTTTCACTTTGGAGCAAATAATACATTCTATGGAAATGGAATACACTATGACCAGTTTTTTTGCCCCGATCATATCACTTTTTAGTCTTTATCAGAATTGTTGATTTTCTTGCCCTCTGCAGGGATGGTTATGATATCCATGTTTGGTAAAGCTTGTATAAGTCAATGCACTTATTTTGTCTGTATTCTCAGTCAGAGGCCATGTTTAAGATTACCTGCATCCTCTTAAGAGAGAAGAAATGTTATTTCTGCAGATACTATGATATGGATAGAATTGTGAATAGAATTGCTCATATTTACTCTGGGTTGGATGCTACTTGGGCACAGTGTAACCAGATGATTAGGGCAATATCCCACAAAACCAAGGGAATGCATTTGAAATTGTGGGGTCTGTGGAAGTAGATAAGGCTCTCTGTAGAACACTACTTGGCTATAGCCAGCAATGTGTTTGGCTGGATTTATGAGATGATTTTAAAAAATTATATTGCATAGCTTAAAATAATAGAAACAATGAGGAATAAAGCAGAATGAAAAAGAGAACACAAATAAAAAAATATGAAGGAAAATTTGGTGACAGTTTTCCCCTCCATTCTTTTTCTCAAACTATTAATCATTACTTAAATATCTATGCTATGCTTTTAATATGCAATATTAATCACTGGAAATTTTTGCTTATATCTGTTTAAATAATTTCATCTGTTATTTTTAATTAGTTTATTGACTCTTTTTCTAGAAGCCATATGCCAGATGTCTGAACCGCTTTGCTGTGTAACATGGTATCTGGGAGATATCCTACTTAAATTTGGTTAAACTTGTATTATGACTATATACTGTCATGTTTTGTTTTATCATGTAGCACTATTTACCAGCATTGGTCTCTCAGTCTTGTTACAGTGAATGTTTCACTTTTCCTTGGGAGGTGATTAATGTCCCTTTGGTGGAGTGGAGATGTCAGACTTTTTAAAGGAAATCGATTATTTCTGAATATATCAAAATGCAGTTGTTTTGGACTCTAACCTTCTGGTTTTGGAGAGATGTTAAGAGAAGATGATAGGGCTACAGTTACAGAGGATCCTAAGTAAAATAGATCTCTTCCACATAAATTTAGAACTGGATTTGGTTCCAAGAACTGCATTGATTGCTATTGTAGATGACCTACATTGGGTCCAGGATGGACAGAGTGCACCGTTCCTGGCCCTATTAGATTTTTCACCAGTGTTTCATACCATAATCTATAGTGTTCTTCCAGATCATTGCAATGACTGGGATTAGGGAGCCACACTTTATGAAGTTCTATTCAAGCAGCAGATTTGTGAGCACCTAAAAATGAACATAGGTGATCAATAGAAGCCAACATAGGTTTGTTAAGAACAAATCATACCAGACAAATCTTATAGCTTTATATGATAAAGTGACTAAATTAGCAGACTAAGTAATTGTTGTGGATAAAATATAATTAGATTTTAGTAAGGCATTTGAGAAGTAGACCACAACGTACTTTTTGGTAACTTAAAATAATGCAGGATAGATAGTTACACTACCACATGAATCTGCATTTCGCTAACAAACCAGGCGTAGCATGTAGTCGTCAATAGAACTACATCTGCATGAAGGGAAGCATGCAGTGAAGCACCTCAAGGTTTTGTCTTGAGCCCAATGCTCTTCAACATTTTCACAAATGACCTAGATGAGATGATTGAAGACGTGCTCATCGAGTTTGCAGATGACACAAAAGCTGCGGGGTGGGATTGCTATCACAGGATATGCTTTATATCTTTAGGAAGACATAGACAGATTTGAGCATTGGGCCTTACCCATCAAGATGCAAATTCAAGGTGAGAAAAGTAAAGGCCTGCATTTAGGCAGAAAAACAAGATGTCCAGATACAGGATAGGCAGTATCTGGTTCAACAGTATTGCCTCTGAGAGGGATCTAGGTTCTGATGTATCACATCTTAGGGTTGAGTGAACAAATATGCTGCAGCTACAGAAAAAGCTAACATAGTCCTGCGTCATAGAAGGATAGCATCAAGATCATGGGAAATGACAGTATCATTCTACACCACACTGGTGAAACCACATTTGGAACACTGTGTCCAGTTCTAGTCACCACAATGTGAAAAGTCTGAGGCCCTAGAAAGAATGCAGAGAAGAGCAACAAAGACGATAAAAGATCTGGAGACTAAATCCCATGAAGAATGACTAAAAGAAACTTAAGCATGTTTAGTTTAATGAAGAGAAGATTGAGGGAAGACATGATAACAGTCTTCAAATACTTGAATGGCTACCAGAGGGAAGCGGGCATCAGTTTATTTTCCATAGCACCTGAGAATAGAACAAAAAGCAATGGGTAGAAGCTCATCAGAGGAAGATCAACCTGGAAATAAGGAGGACTTTCCTGACATTAAGAACTATTAAGCAGTGGAATAGCTTGCTTCCTGAAGTTGTGGGTACTCAGTCACTGGAGGTTTTCAAGAAAAGATTGGGCAACTGTTTACATGTTGGTATAACGACTCAAGGTAGGGATTGGACTAGAAGAAAGTCCTATGATTCTATTTCTTCCAGAGTTGTGCTTGCAATCGGTAGTTTAGGAGCAGGAGGAGTTGAGCCCATGATTGCTCTAGGGCTCATCTCTCTCCCACATGTTACTTAAAAACTTCATGAAACCTCTTGTTGAGATCACCTGGGATGAGGTATCATTGGTACAATACATGGATATGTCAGGCTGAACTGCAGAATTAGAATAGAGCTGGAAGGGACCTTGGAGATCTTCTAGTCCACCTCCCTGCTCAAGCAGAAGATCGTATACCATTTCAGACAAGTGGCCGTCCAGTATCTTCTTAAAAACCTCCAGTGATGAAGCACCCCCAACTTCTGATGGCAAGCTGTTCAACTGATTAATTGTTCTCATTGTTGGGAGTTTATTGTTAATTCCAAGTCACTTCTCTCCTTGATTATTTCCATCCATTGTTTCTTCTCCTGCCTCGTGCTTTGGAAAATAAGCTGCCCTCCTCTTCATTGTAGCCTCTCAAATGCTACAATACTGCCATCATGTCCTTCCTAATCCTACTTTTCTGTAGACTAGCCAAACTCTTTAATTATTTTAAAGAGATTAAATTAAGAGACTAAAACGTATGAAGAACGGTTGCAGTATTGGGTTTAGCTAGTCTAGAGAAAAGAAGGACAAGGAGAGAAGCAACCTGGAATTAAGGGGAAACTTCCTAACAGTGAGGACAGTTAACCAGTGGAACAGCTTGCCACCAGAAGTTGTGGGTGCTTCATCATTGATGGTTTTTAAGAGGACACTAAGCAGTCACTTGTCTGGAATGGCAAAGGATCTCATGCAGGGAGTTGGACTTGAAGAGGTTCTTACTTTGTGTCTGGAAGCTTAGAAGAAACAAATCAATCTTAAATTGAATCCCAGTAAGATGGAGGTGCTTTTAAGAGGAAAATAATCTGTTTCTCATCCACGCTGCCTTGAGAGTCCAGGAATGGGTTAAGCTCCTCCTTCTGACATCATAGAGCTGAGTCTGCCACTATAAAAAAGCCAGCTCCTGGCTGGCCCGCCCATCTTTTGGTTCAGCTTTTGTCTGAGAGCATAGTCTCTGGAAGAAGTGCTTATAAAAAGCTGAAAGAAAGTTTGAACATCACAGGAGACAGCAAATACTTGTAAAATCAGCTCCCAGGGATCCGGTGGAGCTGTGTCTTCAGGAGAGCGGGGATCAGCTCTCCTGCAGCACTGAGGCTTCAGTGCTGCCTTGCAAAGGGCTACAGACCCAGGGAGTGTTGCAGGAGTCTC